AGGACCACCACAGTCCATGTGGGACAATGCTGGTCCTTTCTGATGCGGGTTCATGGGGAGGGAGGGAGCAGGGGGCTTTCTAATACAACTACTAGACTCAGTTTCAAAACCACCTGGTCCAATTCCAAAGATGTAATGACTGGCTCTGTAGATTGAACATACGGCGGTAAGTCCAAAGTCTGGCTACTAGGGTTCCAGTTCAAACATGCACAGCTTCATTCCAGACAAAACGTGCTGAGACCTGTCTCTGTGATCAGACCAGTTCTCTCAGTAACACACTCATTCTGTTAAGGTGTTTTTCCCAAAGGCCCCATAAAATCAGTGTCTGAGGGGACCTGCTGGGCCCGTGAAATTCAAGGCAGAAGGTCGACTCAGAAGGCTATGACAACTGTGTTTTAAAATTCAAAAGGGGTCATATCTTGATATATTTTCTCAAAGGGCACAGGGCATATTAAGAAGTTTTAGAAAACTGGAAAATTGCACTGAGGAATTTTTTTTCCCATCATAATACACCTGTTTACTCTCCAAGGGCAACAAGGGCCATGAGAATTTCACTGGGAGACCTTATTCCATTTGCCCTACAGCCCTCCTCTTTGCCCTTTCAGATTTCTTTTTATCCTTAAAACACCAAAAACATTTAAAAGGAACATGATTTGAGTCCCTCGAGGATGCCAGAGCTGGCGCATGGATGCGGTATACATGAACAGTGCACAATTCTTCTGGGAAGGGTTAGAGAGATGGAAACACAAAAGTGTACAGACCTACCCACTCCAAGACTGAAACTCAAAGGGAACATACGAGCAGGCTTGGAAGCTCACTGGCAACCGTGGTGGTCTACTTGTGAGTGGAAGTGGGGGAAAGGCAGTAATGAAGATATGGACTGAGTTTGATCATGTCATCTGTCGACCTTCAGATGAGACAAAGAAGAAGGGCTGGGGAGACTTAGACACTTCTGAGCCCATGGACACTGACCTAGCCATGGGGGGCTGGAGCTGAGAGTGAAGCGGCCAACTGATATAAAGTGGGAGGAGGCATGCAAGAATGCCCAAACTTGCAGATTGTACCCATTTGACCTAGCTTCAATGGCTTGATGACCAGAGATCAACTAGAGGAAGATAAAGAAGTCTGATACAGGAAGCAAGTGCAAATTGCTACAATTTGATGAACTTGACCTTTACTTACAGTTGTAGTAGCTCAAAATACCAACCATGAGGGAAGGAGTTTTCACATCAAGGATCAAGCCTATCTCCTCGGTACACAGGGTTGATCGGGACGGACATTTAGACACTGGCTACCTAAAATGGGAAGCGCTCTGTAGCATGGTGGTTACGAGTCGGGCTGCTATTCTCAAGGTCAGCAGTTTGAGACTACTAGCTGTTTCTGCTCCCGTAATGATTTAAAGCCTTGGAAACCCTACGCAGGGTCTCTATGAGTCGAAATCGATTTCATAGTACATAACCACCACCACCGCCACCTAAAATGGGAGGGGGAGGGGAGGCTCATAAAGACATGAAGTAACTGGCTTACACATTTTCAAGAGAGAGTTTAGTTTCAGAGTGTGTGGGGGGAGGTAGAACCCCCACAGAATAGTTTTTATCTTCTCTGATGGGTCTGGTGAAAGGAGATGGGGATAAGATTCTTATGATTCAATAGTGTGGAATTGTTATCATGACTAGTTGCGACAGTCACAACTGTAAAGGTAGAAGTTTTGTAACAAAAATGGGGGAGTAGTTAGTCTTACAGTGCAGGAACAGAGGACCCTAGGACCATCAAGGGAGAAGAGCATGAGCAGAATGTGGGCCCCTATCCAGAGAAGCAGCGACACCAGAGATGGAGGCAGAGGTGGGGACATGGAGAGAGGGAGCAGCTGAGGACTCAGGACTCATGGAAAGAGAAAGGCTGTGTGCTGGCAGTCAGGAGGCAGGCTTGCAGAATGTGCCCTTTGGTGGTTTAAATGATTAAATATCTGAAAAAAACACAAAAATCCAGCATAAAAGAAAAAAAAAAAAATAACAGTGTATAGATACCTAGATGGAGGATATGTTGAGAAGCAATGCCATACACGGTATTTTTATTTCATAGAGTTGTTGTGATTTTGTATCAATACTTTTTGACTTAGCCTTGTACAGTCTCTGAAGGGTCAATGTTCACTTGTGTGATTATTTTCTAGAAATTCTGTACACAAAAACCCAAACCCCAAACCACTCATCGCCCATTCACACCTTGTTTCCTCCTCCGAGTGTACACCAGTGAACACAAAGAAAGTTCAAAAGTCATTCAAGTCTGAACGTTCATCTGAATACCAGTAACAAGAAAAGCTGGCTCCTTGGTGAAAGCATTTCAAATACAAATTTTTTTTCCCTAAAACTTTGTGGGATCCAGTAACAGAATGTCTGCTGACTTATCTTAACAAAGGCAGCTCTCAGGTGACTGAACCTGCCTTTCAGAAATAACAAAATGAACAAGAGATGCACACCTGTTATTCAGGTACAAGTCTTAGTGTGTATTGGTATCTCGTGACTCCAAGTAACAGGTTTCTAATTGTGGTATATAATTATTTAAGGCTGAAGTAACATGCAAAGTTTGAGCATTAGTGTTAGGTGAAAACAAGCAGGGCTCAGAGTTGAACACAGACTATCAGTGATTACGGAAGGAGCCCTGCTGACACACTGTACAAGCACTTAGTGGCTACCTGAAAGGTCGCAGTTCAAACCCAGCAGGTACACCACGGGAGAAAGATGTGGCAGTCTGCTTCCGTAAAGACGACAGGCTCGGCCACCCTGCAGAGCCGTCCTGCTCTATCCCATAAGGCTATTCTGAGTCTCCATTGACTCACTGGCAACAGGTTTGCCTGTTCTTTTTAACCTATGTTAGAAAAAACATTCTGGAGAAAACCCTCACAAATATTAATAAAAATACAATTTAAATTGGTAATAAAGAAAAGATGATTTGTTTTTTCTTTTGACTTTACAAAATTTCTTTTGAATTCTTTACTGAGTAGATAGTACTTTTAAATGAGGAAAAACTAATCTGAAAATTTCCAAATTATATTATTTTTGTTAAGAATGATTGATATAAATCTAAGCTGAAATCAATGTTATAACTTAACACTATGAATACATCTGCCATTCACAACAATAAGAAGAGATACTAAATGGAAGAACAAGGTGGAGAGGAGAACAGTTAGGCAGGTTTGCATGGGCCAAGTGGGACAGAGGTAAATAATGATGTATGTACAACCTTGGAACAACAGGGCTCTGGGATACAGGGATTGAGGCATGGTTTGAATGCGTAAAAGGTGGGAAATAATGTTAAGATGCTAGGCTGTCTTTCGAATCTTGGTTTCTCTTGTATACCATTGTAAAATAGACACTTCAGGAGGTTAGAAAGGAATAGCCAGAAATATCACCATAGAAAGCTTGTAAGTACATCTTCTACCTATAAATGATTGGAATACCTAAAATGGGGCTACAATATGCCCATTGAAGGAGGCTACCTTTGGAGCCTCTGCATTACATAAGACCACAGGTGGAATCCTGAACTGCATCCAGAATCTTCTGAGGTCGGAAATTTCCACTTGAAAGGACAAGCAGACCAGCCTGGAGCAGCTAGAAGAACAGAAGATACTTCTTGAAAGAAAGACCAACAGGAAAAATAATAAACAATAACAGCAGTCCAACTGACTACTACAGGAACAAGCAAGCAGCTCGCCCAGGAGACATCAAGCCAAGTGGTTGGGTCCCCTCAGGGAAAACCCAGTCCAAGATTAAGACTCAAGGGGAATACACTAGCAGACATGCACTCTGACTGGTGACCACAGTTAAGGCGAAGTGAGGGAAAACAGCAATGAAGCTGTGAGCTAAGTCTGACCACATTCAATAGACTCCTGTGAACCCACATGGAGACCTCGTTGGCCAGCAGTATGGCAAGACCTGGGGACTCTTGGGCCCAGAGTCAGTGACATAGCCACAGGGGACAAGAGTGGAGAGTGAAGCATCCAGCAGATAAGAAGAGAGGGCATATGCACAAGAACACCCACACTTGCAGATAATACCCACTTGACCTGGCTTCAATGACTGGATGATCAGAACTCAACTAGAAGAAGAAAGAAGAGGGAAAAAAGAGTAACCTGATACAATTTGATTAACTTGACCTACACCTATGGATGCAGTAGCTCAAAAGAGGAAACAAATCATTACAGCGAGGATCATTCCCACCCCCTCCATACAAAGGGTAGACAACTTGGACATGGGCTACCCAAAGTGGCGGGGCTACAAAGGCAAGAAATGACTGGCTTACAAGCTTTCAAGAGGGACCCTAGATCCAGAGGGCACGGAGGTAGAATCTCCACTGAGTAGTATCCAATCTGTCTGGGTGGGGCTGATAAAAGGAGATGGGGATAGGATTCTCGTGGTACAATAGTGAATAATTACTATCAGGATTGATTGTAAGGGTTGGAAATGTAAAGGTAGATGTTTTGTATCAAAAGGAGGGGAGTGGTTGACTTTGCAGTCCAGGAGCAGAGGTCCCTGGGACCATCAAGGGAGAAGAGCAGAGAGCGAGACCCTACCTAGAGAAGCAGTGACGCCAGAGATGGAGGCAGAGATGATGACGTGGAGAGATGGAGTGGCTGGGGACTCTAAACCCAGAGAGGGAGAGGAGCTGTGTGCTGACAACTGGGGGACAGGTTTGTGGGGTATACCCTTTGGTTGACTGATGATGCATGGAGGGGATTGTAACCATGGCAATGAAATGATATACGATAGGATGAATGTAAAGCTAATGTTCTCTCATGTAAACTATCACATTATTCACAAAAAAAAAAAAAAAAAGAAGAGATACTGATCTAAGAATCTTTCCTTGCACTTATTCTTGGCCCACAAAACAGGGCTTCTTGCCTGTTTTCCTAGGGCCTGGAATACAGCAGTGCTGGCTGTCCTTTCCTTCCTGAGCTGTTTCCATTTATTCCCCAAGCGTCTGCAACTGTGGTCCAGACTTACCGTGACCCTTTCACGTGTCTGTGGATGAAGTCTGCATGGAACCCCGGGACCAGAACATCCTTCTCCCCATGCACGATTAAGGTGGGGCACTGAACGTGGGGCAGCAGATGTCGACAGATGTTACCTGAAAACCAGCACAAAGAGTTTGCTGCCATGGAACCATCCTGCATGACAAAAGAGGAGGATGGAGCTTGGGCACATGGCAGTCTTTCTGGATGTAGAGCCAGCCATCTGGATCAGATGGCGCCCAGTCATTCTTCTTGGAGATCCTGCATCGTGCAAGTGGTAAATGTGCTCAGCTGCTAACTGAAACTCTGGAGGTTTGAGTTCACTAAGAGGCACTTCAGAAGGCCCAATGAGCTACTCACAAAGCAGCAGCTACTGAAGACCCAGCAGCACCCAGCTCTGCCCGGACACACACGGAGCCACCACTGGCTAGTCAGTCAGCTCTCTGACAACTGGCGTTGGCTTCAGGTCCCTTCCAGCTCTGACATTCTCTACGTTTCCTCTTTCACTTTTCTGTTGTTTTAGTTTTGCTGCTGTCTCATGGCCTCACTAGGAAACCAGCAGTTTTACCTGGTTTAAATGCATAATCCATAGACAACAAGCAAATAAAAACTCTACAGCTCTTCACGTCACACAGGGAAACTCCCAGTTTGGAGAACGATGCTTGATGGCAGACACTGGAAAAGCTTTTTCTTTGCGATCATGTTTTAAATGGTCACTAGGGCCCTAAGCAGTCCTCAAAAGTTTATACACAATGACGTTACAACTTCCACATGGTAAATAAGCACACACAGTGGTCTCACTACATGAATATACTTCTGAATGATTACGAAGCCCTAACTGGTGTGGCGCTGCAGGATAATGCGCTGGAACACAAGGTCAGTTTGAACCGCAGGTTGGCTGTTCAAACCCACCAGCTGCTTCTTGGAAACCCTACACAGACAGGGTCACTATGGGTTGGAACCGACTTGACAGTTCTAGACCACCACCAACACAGGACAGAGACGTGTCAGTCTGCTTCTGAACTGATGACCGCCCAGGGACCCTGACGGAGCAGTTCTACTCCGTCCTGCAGGGTCACTAGGAGTTGGAACCAACATGAAGGCATATGGGAGCTGGAGGGCTTATGGGAGCTGGAGGGCTTAGATGCTTGGGATCATGACATATTTATAATCTGCTCCGTTATGCCTTGGAATCTTCCTACATTTTCACTGCTCCATCAACAAGTCATAAAAGTTCACAGTTAACAAATCTGTCTTCCTTAATGGATATTGCCTTCATAGATACTGCCTTGTAGAACTTTTTGTTTAAGAGCTGACAGCAACACACTTTAAGGATGTGTTTCCATGGGTGGATACTGTATTTGAAAAGGATCATGACCAAGCACATATCTGTTGTGGTGACATAAAAACAGAGAGAATAACACATCCACAAGTCCTCTGAAATGCGCATGTTTTTACCAAGGACTCATTCTCAACATCATGACCTAATAGGTCCAACTAGCCCTTCAACTTTTATAATTGAATGGCTCCAAGATTCTAGTTTAGCTTCTCTGTTCTTTTAGCAGTCCAAAAAAAAGGTGAAAGAAAAATAAAAACTTACAAATGTAGATAGGCACATAAAAATAAACTTTAACTCAAAATTTCTCTTAGAGATACCAATTCTTATTATAAATGGAAAAATTGTTGATTCTTTCAGATAAAAAAAACAAAGGAGACATCTGTTCATGGCTCAGGTCACATAATTAATTGTGAAGACGGGAAAGAAAGGGACTCAGTATTCTTTACTCTCACCCTCATCCTAATTCCGCTAGGGCTGAAGGTCATGACCAAGCCCCTCCTCTTTGTCACAATATCAGAGAAGGTGGTGCAACCAGGAGAAAACAAGGCATATGGCGAGGCTGCTGGCTTTCTAATGACCCAGTCCCAGAATTAGAAACCAGACTCTAGCTGAGCTTTCTAGAGACCACATGCACACACCAAAAACTGGAAGGAAAAGAGAAAGATCTGCTATTGAAGAGGGAACAACATGAACCATTGTACATACAGCTCTGTCTGTAGCTTAAGGAGTGTATGCAATACTAGTGTCTTCTTTTCACACACCAGGGTGTGGAGATAAATCAGTGAGCCCTACCCCTGAGGATACTGGAGTACTGGGAGAGAAATTCAGATATCTTCTCTCATCTTCTGTAAGCAGCCATGAACAGAGTTCGTGCAACTTACCGTCTGGAAGATGTTTGAATTGCAGAATGCCATTCACCCACTTCTCACAGGTTTGAGCAAAGTAGTCATAGCCATATAGAGCTTCCAGGGGTTCTCTGGTTCTCTTGCTCCATTTGGAAACATCTTGGATCCCTGGAGAACAGAAGTGGGGACAAAGGTGTGTGCTATCTCCGGCTAAATCTTCAAACGGTCCTATTTTGTCCTTCTCAGAGCCTTTATATCTGCTGTTCCATCTGCCTTCCTCCTTATGACACCCAGACTCAAACACCACAGAGGCCTTCCCTGACTACCTTCACCCTCACTGTTTCCAAGATCAGAGGAGTGTCCGATCACCCCTACATCATAAGCTCCAAAAAGGTTGGTGCCAGGGACTAGAGCAAAGCCTGCCACAAGCCAGGGACTCAACAAATATACATCAGGTAAATGATATGTGGTCTGCATCGATGTTTTTTTGCTAAAGAAAACAGAATGTTCCTCTGGCCGGACTCACCTGGAAGAGTGACAATATTTGTAAGTTGCTTTGTTTCTATATTATTTCATATACACTGAGAAAAGCATCTAACCACTAAACGCAAACTATGGTGGTGGCGTGCCATCACATCAGTTCTACCTCACAGCGACCCTGTATAGAGTTTCCGAGGCTGCGTATCTTTACAGGAGCAGAAGGCCTCCTCAGGAGCAATTGGTAGATTCCACCTGCTGACCTTGTGGTTACCAGCTAGGCCTGTGATCCACTGCGCTCCTAGGGTTCCTTAACTTCAAACTACAGCGCAGATAATTCACTATTAGGAAGAATAATAGCAAGAGCTAAAACCACTTTTCTTTTCTTCCGAATGTATTTTGTTGTTATTCTTGAGAATACAGAAAACAAAATACACATCAATTCAACTCTTTCTAATGGTGCAATTCACAGACCCCGACTATGTTCACGGAGTTGTGCGGCCACTTTCACCCTCCTGTCCTGAACTGCTCTTCATAACTCACTGCCCCCAAGGTCCCTATGCAATCTTTCCAGCTGCTGTAATCACTTGAGCTCATGTTGTTGTTGTTAGGTGCCATCGAGTCAGCACCAACTCATAGCGACCCTATGCACAGCAGAACGAAACACTGCCAAGTCCTGGGACAACCTCACTATTTTTGCCACACTTGAGTCTATCGATGCTGCCACTTGGCCAATCCATCTTGTTGGGGTCTTCCTCTTTTTCTTTGACCCTTGACCTTACCAAACATGATATCCTTCTCCAGCGAATGGTCCCTCCTGACAATATGTCCCAAGTATGAGAGACGAAGTTGGGCCACCCTGGCCTCCAAGGAGCACTCTGGATGTACTTCTTCCAACACAGATCTGTTGGTTCTTTTGGCAGCCCATGGCACTTTCAATATTCTCCTCCAACACCATAACTCATAGGCATCAATTCTTCTATGGTCTTCCTTTTCACTGTCCAGCTTTCACATGCATACAAGATTATTGAAAATACCATGGCTTGGGTCAGGCACATCTTAATCCTCAAGCTGACATCTTTGCTCTTCAACACTTTAAAAAGGTCTTGTACAGCAGACCTGCCTAATGCAATACGTCGTTTGATTTCTTGACTGCTGCTTCTATGAGTGTTGATAGTTAATCCAAGAAGAATGAAGTCCTTGACAACTTCAATCTTGAAACTGACCCCATAGATAGTTCTTAAAGGAGCATCATGTTCAAGAAAAACTTTTTTAAAAAAAAAAAAAAAAAAAAACTAGTTTAGTAAAACTATTGCTTGATTTTAAGAAGACTTCAGGGGATATTTGGATATTTTTGGTTTAAGATTTAAAGATGGTCTCATGATTAACAGGTTCAGGGGTTCATCTACCCTCCATGACTAGAAAGTACAGAGTCAACAAGAACTTTCAATTCTGCACCTCTCCTGTTTGAATCAGGATTCTTCCAGAGAACTCCTGTCAAAATCTTCAGTAAAAAAATGGTGGCCAGGCACCATGTGTTTCTTGTAATATCACGGCAGAGACCTGAGGTGGCTGTTCATGGAGGTGAGCATTCTCACACTGTGTACTGCCCCTCCTAACTCCCCTTCCTCCTTGGAGGCTCAGAATGGCAACCGTCTACTGTGCGCTGGGTGGCCACCTGCAAGCTCTTAGGACCTTGGACACCGCATAGTGAACTGGAGGGAGAGCAGAAGCACTAAGCATGCTACTAGTCCAATTAACAGGATGGCTCACAAAACTATCACTGTGAACCTCCAGAGACCAAGGAGCCTAATGCTCTATAGACCACCTCTATAGATCAACTCCCCAGCCCACCATTCTTGTAGCTCTGTGAAGGCACTGTGATAGTTCTGCATCTAGTTGCAGAAATGGTGTGGTCTCAGCCACTAAGGTTGGCGGTTTGAACCCACCCGGCAGCACTGCCATAGAAAAGCTTAGCGATCTGCTGCTGTAAAGATTACGACCAAGGAAATCCTTGGTAGGAAGTTTCAGTCAAGGGTCAGCTGCAGGACCAGGACCACTAGGACTTGGGACTAACTGATGGCAAGAGGATTGGTTTGCTTGGTTCTTCAGTGGACTCGTGGGAGTCATAACGTATACATGGTACATGTGTCAAATATCACAAAATAAAATACACTTATTGATTATTAAATAAATGAATCAATTAAGCATAAGACTTAATTAGAAAAAAGTCCCCTGTGATCTGAATAGAACTTTTTTTTGTTATACAAACCAAGTTGACTAATATTCAATGTGAAGATGTAAAGTCCTAAGATGTAAAGTCCTCTTCTTGGGATAGCAAGGGATCTATAAAATAGACTAAGTCGGCATTTGGAGTAAGATTTATCTATGGGAATGTAAAACCTCAGCAAGGCTCTAGACTTGATAAGAAACACTACTGAAATCTCACGGGACAAGGAAGTTCAGCTATAGCTGGGGTAAGTCAAATGCTCATATGCAGTTAAGAATACAAACTTGGGATTCAGACTGCCTGGGTTTCAATCCCAGCCCCTGCACTTATTGCTCTGTGACACTGAGCAAGTTTCTTAACCTCTCTGTGCTGATTTCCTCATCTGAAACTGAGAATTATTACAAATATTCTAGGATAAAGAATGAATTAAGTTAATGCATGCAATGTGCTAACAGTGTCTTGCATATAAAACAGCCTAAAAATATCATATATGTTAATTTCTATTGATTTATTTTGAGGAAATAATTTTACAGCAAAATATAATTCCTACCAAAAACAAGTAGTAATTATTTTAAAAGTTAAGTTCCTGAGATAACCATTTGAGTCAAACTGTTTACTGATCCTAAGAGAATGGATTTGTATTTCAATAAAATGGGCATATTTATTTTTAAGCATATAGTTTGCATCAACCACTATAATCATAAAAAACAGAGGCATTCACTCATCACTGATTGAGCTCATCAGGTAAACAAGACCTCCGTTTGTTATATTAGTCACAGCAGATACAAGGGGGCTTCAAAATGTGGGAAAAAAGCCATTATCTTTTCATTTCATATTTCCATGAACTTTTGAAGCCCCCTCAGACATCTTGGTGTGGTGCTGTGGGCTAATGCATGAGACTGCAAAGTCGTTTGAGCTGCAACGTTCATGGTTCAAGCTCACCAGCTGCTCCTTGGAAACCCTATGCAACGTCACTATGGGTCGGAATAGACTCGATGGCACTTAACAACAACAACAACATACAAACTTGAATGTGATATCGTCTTTGCTCTCAAGGCCCTTACAGCAACAAACTTTTACACATTACAGGTAGGAAAAAAGTGAAGACATATAGGAGGACAGATTAGGGTTGGTAACTAATTCAGACTTACCGTGTAGCAGTCTCAGAGGTCTTAATCACAGAATGAGCAATGAAGAGCTAAGATTCTACATCAGAACACCACCAAGTAGCTATGATTTAAGGACATGAACTACCTCATAGCTAAAAAGACTCAACGTGTAATATTCTAGGGCAAGGGCCCACGGGTTTTTTTCTGTAAAGGGATGGACAGAAAATACTTAAGCTTGGCAGGGCAGACAGACTCCTAGTTCTCACAGTCTAGGGGAGGGCAGGCTGACACTGTTATACATTTCGATACATATTTGGGGCAAAAAGCCACCAGGCTGAGAGGCAGGGTCTTGGTGAGCCAGAGCAGACTTGGGGTGTGTGGCCACCATGATCAGGTTCACTCTACTCCAGTGACACCAAGGTCCTAGCGGCCCAGATGTGTCTTTCCAGAGAACCTGGATATTTCCATTTGAGCAGCTGGCCAGAGATGAGGTGGCTCAATGGGTTGCTGGTGTATGACGTGGTGCCTGACAGCGGCCAACAGTGGACAATGTGCGGGTGACCAAAGGGCAGACGCTGGGCAATGAGGAGGCACAGCTGTCTGCCAGAAGCTAGCACTGGGAGAGGAGGGGAGTGGTTGCCCATTCTATTGGCGCCCAGGCCTCACAAAGACAGAGCGAAGGTGAATTTGGCATGAGCTGTGGTTTCTGACTCCTTTCTGTTCTTGTTGTGTGCCATCAAGTCAGTTCTGACTCACAGTGAACCTGTATAGAGTTTCCAAGAGGGTTTGAACTGCAGACCTTGTGGTTACCAGTCCAGTGCCTTTCCTACTTATCCTACACACCAGACCAGGGCCTCTCAAAATCTCAAAGATTAGCCTGAAGGACCACCTTTAAAATGCAAGTGGACTAGAAATTCTTTGAACGAAAATGTTACAATGTCTTAATGAGGGTATTAACAACACTCTCCACTGGATCTGCCCCTCCTTCAAGTTCACCATCAGTAGAAATGCAAACAGTGGTTTTACTTAGCCTTTCCTTTACTTCTACAAAGAGGAAACTTTAACACAGACTGGTTAAATTGCATTATTTTTCTGAGAATCTGTTAGTCTTCTCACAGTAGAATTGTGAACTGAGCAAAGGAGGTGAGACTGGTCTGTCCTATTTAATTAGGGGCGTGAGGGGTGAAGGAAGGGCAGGGTTCTGGGTGTGCCAGTTCTGGGACCCACCGTGGTAAATTGCCTCATCCTCATCGGTGACGTATGCATTGGCCCCCCAGATCACCATCTTGTTGATGTAAGAAGGGTATTTTGCAGCTGCGATGAGAGCTGTTATTCCACCGTCGCTCCATCCAAGCAGAGAGACTTTCGGGAACTTCAGTGTCTGTTGACAGATGCAACAAAGTCACAAAGAAAAATCCTTTCCCATGAACCTTTGAAGCCCTTCATATAAGTGTCATAAAATCCTGAGTTCATAGTATTGTTTGAACTATGAAAGAGCTGCATCTTCTGGTGGTGTACAATCTCCAGGAGTAAACCAATGGAGACCAGACCAATACAATGTGTGCATGCGGATGAATACTCATGCAAGAGTTTTGAGGACTGCCTGGCAGGATGTAGCACATGATTATGTAGGTTAAAGCAGGGGGACTTGAGATTTGCTGGAGGCATCAGAGTGGCTGCATCTGATCGCCCCGGTGATTGCAGCTGAAGGAGAATGGCATCAGGAGGGGACCCTGCTAGTCCTAAGCTGACCCAGTCGAGGCATCAGGAGGGGACACTACTAGTCCTAGGCTGACCCAGTCGAGGCATCAGGAGGGGACACTACTAGTCCTAAGCTGACCCAGTCGAGGCATCAGGAGGGGACCCTGCTAGTCCTAAGCTGACCCAGTCGAGGCATCAGGAGGGGACCCTGCTAGTCCTAGGCTGACCCAGCCAAGCTCTGAAAACACATGGTTGGAGGGAAAACTAATAAAGATGAACTCAGGGAGACGCTGCCTAGAAGCAAAATGAGAATGGACATAAAAATTAATGGTAGGGAATTAACAAATATCAGTCCAACATACGTGCTGATGGGCATAACTACCATGAATAATTTAGCATTATCTTAGAGAAAATGAACATTTACATCTCCTAAACGTAGCAAGCCATCTTCTAAGTCTTAGGAAATTCTTGCCTAGAAGCTACGTCCAGGAATCCTACAACAGCATGGTGATAACAGCAAAAAATGGGACCAGCTAAAATGTCAATGGACAAGAATGTTCACTGCACTGCTGTTAATACCTACAACAAAATGACAGAAAACAAACACAACAGAAATAAAGCTCATCGTCTACCCTGAAGAATGACGTGGAGACAGACACCGCAGCCACTCCATGCAGTGGGATATCTGTCATGCTGCATGCCTTCGGTTAGCTCCAACTCACGAGGACCCTGTCTCTACAGGGTCTGCATCACTGACCTTGAGGTTGGCGGTCCAGGGCGATCCTACAACACCACACCAAGAACAGTAGGTACCCATTGTTTAAGAATAATGTCGATTTATAGTTACTGACCTGGAAGTATCATCCTGACCAATTGCTGGGTGACAACAGAAGGTTAGAACAATACCATGTGCAGAGCTCAATGCTAGCCACACAAAGTATTTACATGCGCACAAGACTGGCCCGCCAGGCAGCGCCTTCAAGTCTTGGTTGTGGTAGCTCCGTAGCCTACAGGATTGAGGGAATTTCTACTTTTTTCTTCATACCTATTTAAATTCTTTTTAAATTTTCTATAGGAAGTACGTGGCATGTTCTTTGTAGAAAATATAAACAGTAAAAACGAACCAAAATAAATAAACAAGGCCCAGCCAGCCTCCCGCCCCCAGCCTCTGTCCTAAGACCTACCTTCATCAAATCAACAGCATCTTTTGCATCCCTTTCAAAGAAGTCCACGGGGAAATCTCGATTTGGGGGTCTGGAATGTCCATACCCTCGAGGATCCCAGGCCACTACTGTGAAGCGCTTCTTATTCAGGCTTTGAATCTGGGGTTCAAAGTCAGTTTTTCCACTTCCTAAAAATAACCCATAAAAGCATTCATTGTTTAGAACACAGTAGAAACACAAACAGTAACATTCTGAAAACAAACTGACTCTAAGTTGTCCCACCATAGCCACCAAGTCCATTCTGACTCATAAGTCATTCTTTGTGGAAGGCTGGTGGATTTGAACTGCTGACCTTGTGCTCAGCAGCCCTAGCTGTAACCCACTACGCCAACCGCCCTCAGGCTTGCTGAACCATTGACTTGACTGGAGGCGGGCTTCTTCCTTGCCTGGCTCCTGGCTCCACCTAGTGGCCATTTCTCTTCTTGCGACTCCTCCTGGGTGCTTTTCTTTAGCTTGCTGTTAAGAATGAACAAACTATATGGGACTAGACTCGTCAATATGATATACTTCTCTTTAACTGGCTTTTAAAACTGATGGTTACAAATGAGCGTTAGTTCAGTCATTAATACCTGTGGGCAAATTTATGAGATTGATTCAGTTATGCAATTCCAGATGTGTTTTACAAGGCCTAAGTGAATAATCCTGAAGTTTATTTTCTGGCTGTGATTAGCTACTAGAAAAGTAAACTAATACACCAATATGGGGGAGGGAAGATGACAGATTTGTCTGTTTCATAAAAACAGCACAATATGGTGTAGACAGTGGCACTGCATTCATAAGTCACACACCAAGTTACAGCCACTGTGACACCCAGAGCTCTCTGGTGTGGTGGAGCTCAGATAGATCCACTGCATTTGCTGGGAACAGTCAGATCTCAAAGAGCCCTAATCTAGGGACAAGTAAGAATAACATTTAAAAATGTGTTCCATTTCTGAGAACTCGTAGCTCAAGTGACACCATGCCTGACCAACGAGCTCTATTAGAAAATGTCTTTCAAGATAGGGCAGGATCATTTTACCTGATCAAGCCTTGTCACTCTTCCTGACAATATGTATCTTTCTCAAATCACGTAACTAATCCTGCAAACCAAAGCCAAAATCAAACAGGTGGATTTCATGCCCCCACGTTCTGCTCTAACCCACGTGGCTTCTACTGTGGTTCGTGAGCCACAATGGCTTCTTTGCTGCCTTCTGGATCTGGAACACCTGGAGCAGGGGTAGCGGTGAGAGCTGGGAAAAGGGCACTGTTCAACTCAATTTCAGAAATAGTGATGTACTTGCTTTCTGCCACCAGACAACATGAATCCCAGGGCCAGGAATACTAAAAGCTAAAGACATGCTTAGGAATTATATGTAGCTAGTGGCACTGTGGGTTAATGCGCCAGACTGCAAAGCTGTTTGAACTGCAAGGTCGGCGGTTCAAGCTCACCTGCTGCTTCTTGGAAACCCTATACAGGGTCACTATGGGTTGGAATCAACTCAATGGCACTTAACAAGTCACCAATAAACAACATTCTTATCAACGGAGAAAAGATTGAAGTTGTCAAGGACTTCATTCTTCTTGGATCAACTATCAACACTCAAGGAAGCAGCAGTCAACAAATCAGACGACATATTGCATTAGGAAAATCAGCTGCACAAGACCTTTTTAAATTGTTGAAGAGCAAAGATGTCAGCTTGAGGACTAAGATGTGCCTGACCCAAGCCTTGGTATTTTCAATAACCTCACATGAATGTAAAAGCTGGACAGTGAATAAGGAAGACCGTAGAAGAATTGATGCTTTTGAGTTACGGTATTGGAGGAGAATATTGAAAGTGCCATGGGCTGCCAAAAGAACCAATAGATCTGTTTTGGAAGAAGTGTAGCCAGAGTGCTCCTTAGAGACCAAGATGGCCAAACTTCATCTCTCATACTTCGGACATATTGTCAGGAGGGACCAGTTGCTGGACAAGGATATCATGTTTGGTCAGGTGGAGGGTCAGAGAAAAAGAAGACCCCCAGCGAGATGGATTGGCAAAGTGTCAGCATCAATGGGCTTGAGTGTGGCAACAATTGTGAGGTTGGCCCAGGACCGGGCAGTATTTCAATCTGCTGTGCATAAGGTCGCTATGAGTCGGTACCGACTTGATGGCACCTAACAACAACAACAAGTCACCTAATCCACAATTTGCCTGTCAGTTTGTCCTAATGTGGTGGCTTACATGTTGCTGTGATGCTGAAAGCTTTGCCACTGGTATTTTAAATATCAGCAAGTCCCCCACGGTAGACAGGTTTCAGATGAGCTTCCAGACTAAGACAGACTAGGAAGATGGAGAGACAGACTACTTATGAATACTTAGCCACCCAAACCTCATAAATAGCAATGGACACTGTCAGATAGCACCAGAATACTGAATACTGAAACATGATGAAGAGCACTGGTCAGAATATTATCAGATATAGTGCCAGAAAATGAACCCCTCAGGTTGGAAGGCACTAAAATTACGACTGGGCTTCCCCTCAAAGTAGAGTTGACCAAGGTGATGTGAATGGAGTAAAACTTTCAGGACCTTCATTTGCTGATGGAGCATAACTCAAAATGAAGAGAAGCGGCTGCAAACATCCATTAATAATCAGAACATGGAATTACGAAGTATGAATTTAGTAAAAATGGAAATTATCAAAAATGAAATAGAACGCATCAACATTGATATCCTAGGCATTAGTGAGCTGAAATGGACTGCTATTGCCCATTTTGAATCTGACAATCACATTGTCTACCCTGCCAGGAATAACAAATTGAAAAGGGATAGCGTCACATTCATCATCAAAAAGAACGTATCAAGATCTGTCTTGAGGTACAACACTGTCTGTGACAGATAATCTCAACAGGCCTACAAGGAAGACCAGTTACTACCACTATTATTCAAATTTATGTCCCAGCCACTAAAGCCAGTGATGATGCTGTTGAAGAATTCTGTCAACTTCTTCAGTCTGAAACTGATCAAACATGCAATCAAGATGTATTGATAATTACTGAAGACTGGAATGCAAAGGTTGGAAACAAAGAGGAAGGATCAGTAGTTGGAAAATATGGCGTTGTTGATAGAAATGATGCTGGAGATTGCATGACAGAATTTTGCAAGACGAATGATGTCTTCACTGCAAATATCTTTTTTTAAACAACGTAAAAGATGACTATACACATGAACCTCACTAGATAGCACACACAGAAATCAATCGACTACAGCTGTTGAAAGAAACAGTGGAAAAGCTCCCTATCATCAGGGGTAGGGGCAGACTGTGGACCAGACCATCAGTTGCTCACATGCAAATTCAGATTGAAGCTGAAGAAAATTAAAACAAGTCTCTGAGAGTCAAAATTTGACCTTGAACAAATGCCATCTGAATTTAGACCATGTCAAGAACAAATTGATGTGTTTAACACTAAAGACCGAAGACCAGAAGAGCTGTGGGATGACATCAAGAACATCATACAGGAAGAATGTAAAAGGTCATTAAGAAGATAAGGAAGGGAAAAGATCAGAATGAATGTCAGAAGAGACTCTAAAATGGCTGCAACAGCACACTGACAGGGAACTGCCAGAGGATCAAGCTGGATTCAGAAGACAACATGGAAGTAGGGATATCATTACATCATTTGAGAAGCTGGATTAGGGTATCAGGATAGGAGGAAGACTCATTAACAACCTGTGACATGCAAAGGATACAACCTTGCTTGCTGAAAGCAAAGAGGACTTATAATACTTGCTGATGAAGATCAAAGACCATGGCCTTCAGTATGGGGTGCACCTCAAGGTAAAGAAAACAAAAATTCTCACCACTGGACCAATGAATAACACCATGACAAATGAAGAAAAGGTCGAAGCTTAGATCTGCTATCAACACTCACTGAAGCAGCAGATAAGAAGTCAACTGACATATTGCATTAGGCAATACTGCACAAGACCTCTTTAAAGTGTTCAAGAGCAAAGATGTCAGTTTCAAAAGCATCATATACATGGGAAAGCTGGACAGTGAATAGGAAGACAACAGAAAAATTGATGCATTTGAGTTATGGTGCTAGAGAAGAATATGCTGCCAGAAGAACAAATAAATCTGTATTGGAAGAAGTACAACCAGAATGCTCCTTAGAAGCCAGGATTGCCAAACTTCATTTCTCATATTTCGGACACAGTATTGGGAAGGACCAGCTCGTGGGGAAGGACATCATGCTGGGTAAAGTGGAGGGTCAGTGTAAAAGAGGAAGACCTCCAGGGAGACGGACTGGCCAGTGGCAGCATCAATGAGCTCAAGCATAAGAGAGACTGTGAGTTGATACAGAACTGGGCAGTGTTTCTTTCTGTTATGCCCGGGGATGCTATGAAAAGGAACTCACTAGACGGCACCGAATAAGAAAAATAACAAGCCACCAAACAGATATCAGAAGAGACTCTGAAGCTTGCTCTTGAGCACAGAGAAGCTAAAGGGAATGGACGAAATGAGGAGGCACAAGAGTGAACAGAAATGTAAAGGGCAACTTGAGAACATAAAGTATTATGATGCAAAGACCTGAAGTTAGAAAACCAAAGGGGAAAAGGATGCTCAGCACTACTCAAGCTGAAAGAACTGAAAAAAAAAACACCCCTGAAGCCTAGCACTGCAATATTGAAAGATTGATGGACAAAATGTTGAAGGACACTAGAAACATCAAAAGAGGAAGAAACACAGTTACTACACCAAAAGAACTGCTCGATATTCAGACATTTCAAGAGATACCATATGATCAAGAACTAATGGTACTGAAGGAAGAAGTCCAACCAGCACTGAAGGCACTGGTGAAAAACAAGAGTCCAGGAATGGACGGAATACACACTGAAACCTTTCAATCAACGGATGCAGCTCTGGAGGCGCTCACTCATTTATTCCAAGGAATCTGGAAGACAGCTCCCTGGACAACCAGTTGGAAGACATCTGTATCTGTGCCCATTCCAAAATTCCAGTGGAATGTGGAAATCATCAAACAATATCATTAATATTGCATGCAAGTAAAATTTTGTTGAAGATAATTTAAAAACGGTTGCAACAGTACACCAATAGGGAGCTGCCCGAAATTTAAGTCAGAATCAGACAAAGACGTGGAATTAGGGACACTATGACTGACCTCAGATAGATCTTAACCCAAAACAGTGGATACCAGAAATATGTTTATTTGTATTTTATTGACTATGCAAGGGCTTTAGACTGTATGGATCAGATTCGCTATGAATAATGTCACAAAGAATGGACATTCTAGAAAACTTAATTGTGCACATAAGGAACTTGTACGCAGAGCAAGAGTCAGTCATTCAAACCAACAAGGGGGCACTGGATGGCTTAAAATCAGGAGAGGTGTGCACCAGGGTTGTAGTCTTCCTTCTTATTTATTCTATCTATATGCTGAGCAAATGATCCACGAATCTGTGTTATATGACTATGAACGTGGCTTTAGGATTTAAGGAAGACTCATTAACCACCTACAATATGTACATGATACAACTTTGCTTGTTGAAAGCAAAGAGGACTTAAAATACTTAATGAAGATCAAAGACTACAGTCTCCAGGATGGGTTGCACCTCAATATAAGAAAACAAAAATCCTCACCACTTGACCAATAAATAACACCATGATAAAGAGAGAAAAGACTGAAGTTGTCCAAGACTTCATTTTGCTTGGATCCACTTATGGATGCAGCATTCGAGAAATCAAATGACTGTACTGCACTAGGCAAATCTACTGCAGAAAACCTCTTAAAAGTGCATAAGAGCAAAGATTTCAGTTTGAGGACTGAGGTGTGCCTGCCCCAAGCCATGGTATTTCCACCTGCCTGACATGCATGAGAACGTTGGACAATGATTAAGGGAAGACATAGAAGAATCGATGCAATTGTGTTATGATGTCTGAGAAGTATATCAGAACTACTATGGATTGCAGAAAAACAAATACATCTGTGTTGGAAAAAGTCCAGCCAGAATGTTCTTAGAAGCCAGGATGGTGAGACTTAGTCATCTCTCATACTTAGTTTATGTTATCAGGAGGGACCAGGGCCTGGAGAAGGACATCATGCTTGGTAAAGTGGAGGGCCAGCGAAAAAGAGGAAGACCTCCAATGAGATGGGCTGACACAGTGACAGCAAAAGAAGGCTCACGAGTAGCAACAATTGTGAGAACGGTGCAGGGCTGTGCAGTGTTTCATTCTGCTGTGCACAGGGTCACTGGGAGTTGGCACTGACTCTATGGCACCTAACAAAAACAATCACCCGTTTAGGAGTCCTGGTGTGGTGCTGTAGGATAAGCACTGGACTGCTAATTGCAAGGTTGGTGGATGAAAGCCACCAGCCCCTTGTAACCAGCGTCTGAAACTCCCATCAAACAAGGTTTCTGCCTTGCTGGGTGTGGGTTAAGGGAAGGTGGGAGAAGATACTGATAGGATGATGAGTCAGCTGGGGATGTGAGCAGAGTTCATTGTCATCGTACAAACTTGAATCTCTATCATGGGTAGAAAACGAAGCATTTCAGAAGTAGAAGAGGCTATCAAAGAAGGAGAGCCAGAGGGGCATGTGTCCTTTGGACCCCGAACTCCCTGCCCACTGAATGCTCTGGATCCAGTTAGAAAGCTGTAAAGTCAGAGAGCAACAGAACCAAAAATCAAGACAGAGCAGTGGGCTTCTGAGCCTAGAGCCAGTGAAGCTTAGTGACGCGGGGCAGGAGCGAGCTTGTACAGTGGGGTGCTACGTTTGCTGGCCCATGGAGCCAGAGCTGAGGCTTATGGTGGAGTGGTGGGTCCTGTGGGTATTTATCAGCAGCTGACGGGAACACCTGTGCCCTTGGCTCTTTCTGATTCCAAACTGTAACCTGTAACTTCCCTAATAAGCCCCGTAAAGGTGAGTATTGACTGATACGGTGTGGCTGGTATAAGGAATTCTCAAACCCATGGAAAAGTACAGTTGTGTGGGCGGGGTGACTGCTGTCACATTTTTTTGAAAGAGTTGCTGTGAGTCAGAACCGACTTGCAGCTAACGACAGACAGCAGCTTGGAGTCCCGGTGCCACTGTGGGTTAGGTGTTAGACTGCTAACCACAAGGTTCACAGTTCAAACCCACCAGCCACTCCTCAGGAAAAGGTGAGACTGTCTGCTCTCACAAAGATTTAGTCTCAGAAACCCTTCCGAGGGCCACTATGAATCAGAACTGACTTCATGGACGTGGGTTTGGTTTTGGATTGTTTTAGTCACCAGCCCTGGTGTTGTGCTATAGGATAAGTACTGGACTGCTAAGGTTGGTGGTTCAAACCCACAAGCTGCTCCTCAGAAACCCTATGCAGGGTTATACTATGAGTCAGGATAGACTGGATGGCACTTATCAACAAAAACATGGGCCAAAACTGACTTGGTGGCAGTGGGTTTGATTTTGGATTGTCACCAGCTTACAACACCAGTGACGCCAACACTAGCACCAGCCAGCACTGGCTGTCGGCAAGAGGGGCCCTGGGTGCTCTGGGCACCACCTGGGAGAGTGAAGCTGTTACTTATTTTGAGTTTCGAATCATGTTAATGTTTTACATAAACAAAAGTTAAATTTTAAACACACATTTTTGCTATACTGAGCTTTACAATCAGAATATGGTACAATGGAAATCTAAGAGCTAGCAATTTAATTTTTTCACAGATAACTTTAGCTGTACTTCAACCAGAGGAGTAATTATTCTCCTTCATTATTTTACAAAGGAGCTCTGGTAGCGTAATGGTTATGAATTGGGCTGCTAACCTCAAGGGTGGCAGTTCGACACTACCAGCCATTTTGCAGGAGAAAGATGAGGGTTTCTGTTCCCGTAAAGATTTACAGCCTCAGAAACCCTGTACAGGGTCGCTATGAGTCGGAACCGACTCCATGGTACTTAACAACAACAATTACGTTCTAAGCACTTAAGAGAAAGAAAACAGTAAATAAATGCTATGTCTGAAAAGATGCTTTTACTGAGCCCGGATGGTGCCAAGAGCAAACTACAACCCCGATCCCAGTAGGCTGAGCTAGGTGAAACCATCCATTCACTGGACAGTTTTACCACATTATTTTAGGAGACAGAGCGAATCATAAAGGAAATAAGCATACACTGGTGTGATTTAATTAAACTGAACATGAAACAAACATACTAACTCCCTTAAAACCAAAGTTGTGATGTCCTGAGATCTATGTAAATCATCTCCTTGCACTTTCTACACCATCTGTGAAACTTCAGCTAGACTTTGTCCAGCTAGCTTTACTATGCCCCCACACAGGAAGGGAGAAATGTGCTGATCTAGTTTTGATTTTCAAAAAGTGGTTCTATGCAGTTGAGTCGTTTCTGACTCCGTGACTGCACAGTTTCCAAGGCTGAAAATCTATCTATACGGGAGGATCTTTCTCTCACGGAAAGGTTGGTAGTTTCAAGCTTCTGACCTTGAGGTTAGCAGCCTAACTTGTAACCACTATAGATCTCCTTAAGCTAACCTTTATTCTTAGCTATTTTAATTAGACAGACATCCAACAAGAAGTAGGTGGCTTCAGCACTCAAAGTCCCACGTCCTGGAAAAGCTGTTACATCTACCTTCTTTTTCTACTCCATCTCTCCACACCCCACTCACTGACCCTTGTCACCTCCCAAATTGTAGCAATTGTGGCTGCACTATATTACATGGGAAAACTGGGTACTTCGAGGGAAAAAATCACACACTGTAGAAAGTTATCTGTTGGCTACATCACTTCAATTTGACCATAGCAAACATTGAGTAAAGCACTTCAGCAAGGCTCTGGGAATGATCAGAGTTTGGCATGGAGCGCATTCCATTAGAAAAGCATCCTGACCTAACATCCCAGGGAGCAGCAGGACTGCGTGGTCCCCCTCTCCAGCCCGCAGATAGTGCAGGTGAACACCATTCACATCCACTTTGGCCGAGGTCACCGAGGTGCTGCAAGAAAACAGCGCATCCCAAAGCAAAGTTATTTAGTAGCACAAATTGAGTATGACAAAACCACCGTGTTGTACACACCAGCCCACCCAGCACCCTTCTCTGGAGAGTCTGACTCTGGGCCTCAGTTCTCCAACCTAGAAGGTGACTTGTGTCTTTTTTGCTGGATGGGCTGTCTTCATGCACCCAACCCAGGGCTTACCTATAAAAGCACCAACATTCCTGCTGAGACCACAACCACACACACCCATGGGCATATGCCTCAGAGCTGCATGCAGGCTGAGTTGAGGACCTCCACACAACAATGAAAGTGAGGGTGGGCCTCATAAGCAGAGACCCGGGAATCATCCCTGTGAACTTCAGCATGTCTAGGGCTACGTAGCCTCCAGTCATCTTGGTGTTGATCTTAAGAACAAGGCTGGTCCCAACAGAATTCTTTAGGTTTAGGGCTTTTCTGCCAGGAGCAGGAAGGCTCTAATTGGGAACGCCAACATACACTGATCTGGTCATGTGACTGTTAAACAGCCACACTCCTAAGGTTCCAGCTTGAAGAACATTCCCCCTGTCACTGACCTTCCTTGACCCAGGATCTCCCATGGCCCTGCATCTTACTGGGCCAGACTTGGCATGGAGGGGGCCCAGGTAGCCTCTTCTGACGTGAGCCACTCCGGCATTCTGACTGACCAACCTGTCCTAGTGGCTCCTGTGGAGACTGCTGGCCTTGGGACACACATCAGAGTGCATACTGCCCCCCCCCACCCCCCACCCAACAGTGTGCCTGGTGGATGGCTGAGTGAAGTGCATGCCACCAGGGGACATGGTGGCATGCCAGGACAGATACCACTGATGTTCTGCCTCTAATTGGCCACTGATGAATTGAAATCAACCACTGTCTTCTTTTTCTTCTGCATACTCCCTTCCCGATACCCACCATTGCCCGATACCCACCACCACTTAGTCAAAACGACTCGAGACACTTTTGAAAAACTGAAGTTCTGTCTCCTCTTCTGGCTTCATCTCACTCGTCAATTTCAAACAGGGAATAATGCAGAAACAAGTATGTTTGATATGTTTCTGCAGAAAGTGAGACGGAGTTGGGGAGCAGTAAGCCCCGACAACACCCTGACTTCAACATCTACAACAACCCGGAGGAGTAAGCCACCGGCCTCCCTGCGGACTTTACTTCTATTGCTTCAGGACCAAGGTGGCCACAAAAGAACACACTCTGCTAAGACTGGTCCCCTCCAGAAAGCATGTGTTTACTGGTGTATTTGTTTTGTTCAGCCGAGTTGGAGAGAAGTCCGATACAGAGGACTTACCCTGTAAACCGTAAGAGCACAATCCATAACACACGGCTGGGGCTATACAATTCTATTAGCATTTTCTGGCTTTACAAAATGAGGCAACTTTCAAAACAGAAGCGACTGGCACCAACAGGAGAGTTATAGGTGCCAGCCACGGCTAACAGACAATCCCCCGACTTCCTTCATTACTCCTGATGCTTGAGAGGTTTTAGGGTCCCCTCCTGGTGTGCTTGCCCTGTGGCAATCATACAAGGGGACTTCAAAAACTAGGTGCGAAAGTGGAGTAAAAAAGATGATGAAATTTCCCACCAGTGTGTCGATGTATGTGGTTGGTGAGTGCTGTAGAATCGGTTCTGACTCATAGTGACTGTGGACACAGTTTCCGAGGCTGGAAATCTTTGCAGGAGCAGAAAGCCTCTTCTTCCTCCCGAATCACATAGAATGGGGGGATTTCCTGCCCCACCCTCCTGGCCCAGGCTGGCTTCTAGACAGTGGTGCCTACTCAGCTGGGCACATCTCCATGGGGGCCACAGAGCCGCCTGGGCACTGCCCCCACAAACTGCCCTCACTTCAGACACTGGCTGCCAGGTCAGAGGTTCCCGAGCTCACTGGCACTTCTGACTTGTTGTTGTTGTTGTTAAGTGCCGTTGAGTCGGTTCCGACCCATAGCGACCCTGTACAGGGTTTCCGAGGGTGTAAATCTTTACGGGAGTAGAAAGCCTCATCTTTCTCCCGCGGAGCGGCTGGTAGTTTCGAACCGCTGACCTTAAGGTTCGCAGCCCGATTCGTAGCCACTATGCTACCAGAGCTCCTTAGGCACTTCTGACTAGCGGGCCACAAATTTAAGGGAGTCCTGGTGTGGTGCCGTAGGGTAAGCACCCGGCCACAAGGTCAGCGGTTCAAGCTTACCAACCGCTCCTCAGAGACCCTATACAGGGTCACGATGAGTCGGAACCGACCCAACAGCACTTAACAACTGCCCCTTCAGGACATCAACCATCAGCTCAGAGGTCCACAGAACACCTAGTAATCCTTACTACCCTGGCAGGTTCCAGAATTCACTACAAACTCTCAGAATGCAAGAAAGCGCGGGTCATGTGTTGTGGAGTTAAACAGAGAAGAGTTGTGCAGGGAGAGGTCTGGGAGGAACTCAGACACCAGCCTTCTGCATGACTCTCCTGTCACTCAGGGAAGCCCACCCAGGCTCCAGTGCCCAGTCTTTATGGGGCTTTTATTACAGGGACACGAAGCCACCCAGGTGGCTGAGCTCAGTCTCTAGGACCCACATCCCCAGGACACTGACATCATCACATGGTGGGCTTCTCTGGGTCCTTCTGTATTGGGCAGCCCCCAACTAAGTCACCTCATTAGTATAACATCATAGGTGTGGTCTGGCGTCCTCAGGAATACCATACACCTGATAACTCAGGAAACTGTAGGGGTTCAGAGGTTACCTGTAGGGACTGAGCAGCCTGCTGGCTCTGCAGAATAAGCACTGACTATGAGCCACAAGGTGGAAAGTTCGGCAGGAGAGTGAGTCCTGGTGTGGCACTGTGGGCTAATGCACCAGACTGCAAAGTCAGTTTCAACGGCAAGGTTGGAGGTTCAAGCTTACCAGCTGCTCTTTGGAAACTGCATACAGGGTTGCTATGGGCTGGAACTGACTCTATGGCAGTGGACTTGGCAGTTTGGTTTTCTAGAGTCTTAGTGATGCTGTGGGCTGCTAACTGCAGGGTCAGCAGTTCAAATCCAACAGCCCCTGGAAGGCAGAGAGGCCAGGCTGCGTGTTCCTGGAGAGCTTCAGTCTCAGAAACCCTACGGAGCAGTCCCACCTACTCACTGCACAAGGTCACTGTGCGCTGGAATGGCAGTGGGTTTGGGTTTGGTTTTTGGGGACAAAGGCCAAAACCTTTAGGTAAAGTTAATTCTTCGCCCTACGTGCACATGGCTTCCTCTTCTTCAGCTGCCATTCCTAACAGTGTTCTACAAGAACTCTCCAACTTCCCCCTGGACTTTTCTGTAATCTAGGTTTTGATTGGCCATCCCAGTTTTTCCTTCCCCTCTGATTAACACCATCCAGTCCTGGCGTGGTGCTGTAGGGTACACACTGGACTGCCATCTGCAAGGTCAGCAACTCAAACCCCCCAGCTGCTCCTTGGAGCTGCTGTAAGTCGGCACCGACTTCACAGCATCAATGATGACAACCTGGAATAAAACCAGGTTGTTCAGCACCTTGCATCACTGGAATTCAAAGCGGGAAAAGATTCAGAAAGGCAGAATACTTTGTTGGTGGCTTTAGAGGACACAAAGAAATCCTATCAGGGTTGAGCAGAGGTATCTGTGGGAAAGGAAAGGTAACATTTGAGATGGGGTCAAGTTCTGAAACAAGATGGCGGTGGGGAGGGTATTTCTGGTGGGAGGGTGGAGCCAGGAGCGAAGCTCAGGAGAGAGTTCTTCCACTCGGAGGTTGGAAGACAGCTGGTGTTTTGTCTGCCACAATCTCCTACAACAATCACAGCCAGGGGCTCTGTCGCTATCCTATCAGCCCTGCACCTAAAGCTCAAGGAGGATGCCAAAAACTTTTCATAAATCTTCAAGTTGGGGCCACTGGACAGAGAACTACCAACAAACAAAAGCAAATTAACCAGTTTCAAATGTAAGAAAAAGTTTGACTCTTCAAGATAATAGCTCCTGAGAGCTGCTATTCTCACATAGACACAAGATGCCGGAAACGAGCACAGCACAGTTTTTCCAGCTTCCCAGGAGCTGGGTGGCAGCTCCGGTCAGCCTGAGAATGTGGACAGGGGATGGTGCTGCCATCCTAACATCAGCTTTGTTGTTGTGAAGTGCCACTGAGTCGGTTCCGACCCACAGCGACCCTATATAGGGTTTCTGAGGAGTGGCTGGTGAGCTTGAACTGCCGACCATGCAATTCAAATGGCTTTGCAGTCTGACACATGAACCCACAGCGCCTGCCACACCAGGACCCCTTACCTGGGTCAAATCCAACATACCAAATTCCCCAAGCTCAGGTAGGAAACACGATAGAAAATTTAAGATGCTTTCAAGAACAAAAATGAGTCTATTTCTCTTGGGGTGTCAGCCTGTTTTTTCTGCCACATTTCTTTCCTCCTAACAGTGGTGGTGGTAGTAGATCCGGTTTTGATGCACAGTGCCCTGTACACGGTTTCCAAGGCTGTAAATCTTTGCAGGAGCAGAAAGCCTCATCTTACTCCTGCGGAGGGCTTGTGGTGAGCAGCCCAACTCATAACGCACTTCGCTAACATGACTACTTCTCTCCTAATAATCTTTCTAATCCAGGTAACCTTAAGAGGTGTGTTCACTAGAACCACCTGTAGAAATTTAAAAGGAGGCTTCAAAAAGTTCAAGGAAAGAGGGGAGTAGTTAATCTAACATCCCAGGAACAGAGGACACTAGGACCATCAAGGGAGAAGAGCAGAAGCAGAATATGGGACCCTATCCAGAGAAGTAGGGACACCAGGGATAGAGGCAGAGATGGGGGACATGGAGAGAGAGAACAGCTGAGGACTCTGGATTCATGGAAAGAGAGGGACTGAGAGCTGGTGGCCAGGAGGCAGACTTGCAGAATTTACACCCTTTGGTGGCGTAAATTCCTGAATGTTTTTGTGTATATCAAAAAACAAAACAAAACAAAAACCTAGAGGGAATAGAAGCAAATACTGATGACTGATGATGCCCAGAGGGGATTGTAATCATTGCAACGAAATGAAATACGATAGCATGAGTATAAAATGGACGTTCTCCAATGTAAACTATCACTCAGTACATAATAAAAACTTTAAAACAAAAAAAAAAGTTCATGGAAAAAAGGAATCAAAAGAGAATGGAATTTCTCCATGAATGTTCTGAAGCCCCCCAGACAATCCCTGGAAACTGTAATTCAGTAACTTTGGGGTGGAAGCATGGACTTTGTTTCCTACAACATTAGGAACAACTCTCCTGAATTCTTCATTCATTTCTTGAGCACCTACTCTGTGGAGGGTGAGAAAGCTTGGGGTCCAGCAGGAGCTATGCAATCAAACCTGTGCCTGCACTTACTGTGTGTGTGTAAAAGGTGCCACCAAGGTCCCCAAGCCCGCACCAATGAGATGTCACTCATCCAGTCCCTGATTACCAGAGCATTTCTGCCCCCATCTGACAAACCCAGGGCACACAAAAACAGAAGGCTGAGAATGGGATCTAGGCTTGTTGTTAAAATTCCACAAACACACAAACAGCTTGCAGAAGACCCACTCCGAGAAGAGCCTGTCTCACCTCCTATCTGCCCTTGACTCCCTTTTACTGGGCGCTTGGGCAGGCAATTTGGTGACAAGAAAGGAGGTAAGGAACACTAGCACACACCCATAATCAGCTCTGGACCGAAAGGGTGACTGCACCAGGCACAGAGCAGTCTCCCGAGGAGCAGCAGTAAAGAACAAAACAGCCAGGGCCAAACAATGAAATGAGAACCAGCATCTGCTGCTCCGTGTCTACGGCTTGGCGAGATGCGTTGTTGTTGTTGTTGTTGTTAAGTGCCGTCGAGCTGGTTCCGACCCATAGCGACCCTGTATAGGGTTTCCGAGGAGCAGCTGGTGAGCTTGAACCGCTCGCTGACCTTGCAGTTCAGATGGCTTTGCATTAACCCACAGCACCACATGCGTATAACCAAGTAAATAAGTAACAACTCCATGGCTGTCTTTACAGAAGTCAACTACGTTATCTTTCTTCCACATAGCTGCTGCTTTGAGCTGCTGACCTCCTAGTTAGCGGTCGAGTGCTTAACCAGGTGCCACATACTTCTCCTAATCTCACAGTGAAAAAATGTGAGGATTAGAATTCAGAACACGTGTGCACCACATTGCTGGAAGTCAAGTGCAGTAGCTATCTGAGATCTGACACCTGAATTTTGCTACTAAGTATGACATATTCCCACACGGAAAATTCTACTTGTTGCCTGAAAGTAGCAATATTAACTATAATAATGGATCATCTGCTCTCACACTGGTGTGGCACTGGAAGAGAATGCACTGGACCTTAAGGTTGGTTTGAACTGCAAGGCTGGCGGTTCAAACTCACCAGCCGCTCCTCAGAAACCCTAGAGGGTTGTTATGAGTTGGAATCGAATCCACGACACTTAATAAAAACAACTCTCCGGCTAACTGAGGTTGGAGTTTTGAGTCCACCAAGAGGTATTTTCAAAGAAAGGCCTGGCAATCTATTTCCGAAAAATCTGTCACTGAAAACCCTGTGGAGGCTAGTTCTATTCTAGCACATGGGGTGGTCACACGTCAACTGGAAACATAAGTTGTATTATTCTTTGTTGTTGTTGTTATGTGCCGTGGAGTCGGTTCTGACTCATAGCGACCCTGTACAGGGTTTCTGAGGCTGTACATCTTTACAGGAGCAGAAAACCTCATCTTTCTCCCGCGGAGCAGCTGGTAGTTTCGAACTGCTGACCTTGCGGTTCACAGCCCGATTCGTAACCACTACGCTACCAGAGCCCCTTGTATTATTCTTTAGATAGACACATTTCTGTCATTACTGATTGGACCTATTGTTGTTATTGTTAAGTGCCATCGAGTCAGTTCTGACCCATACGACCCTATATAGCGTTTCCGAGGAGTGACTGGAGTGAGCTTGAACCACTATGTATTAAACTCCAGCTGTAATCACTGTCTCCAATCCTCACAACTCAACAAGGCACAAGGCAAGGGGGAAGTAACTGCCCACTCCAAGTCCAGAGTCCAAGCCTTTTCTGTAACATCATGCTGTCTTGAGCTAACAGAGCCCCCAACATGGCTCGAGCAATGGGACATTTCACTCTCTGCCCAACAGGGGAGGGCTGTGTCAGATCCCAAGGGAAGCATGCCATCTGATTTTCAAGCATAGCAACCCAAGGTAGAAATCTGAAAATATTTTCCCTAAAGATTGTTATTCATTGTCAGGAAATTATATAAATGAATACCTTTGTAACTGTACATAAAGTAAAGGCTTTTACAGCCTGACGTAGGAACGAACTCCAGATCATGGAATAAGAAATGACTCAGAGTTTTAAACTGACAAAAAAGCTCTTGGAACACTATCCGCAGTTTGGGCACTGGGCCTCCCAGCTGTGCTTTACTTATTACTTGGAGCTGCATTTACAAAATAGCAAACCAAAATCCAGAGAAACCAGTTTTTCTGAGCTAGTTTAGAAAGAATGATTTGTAAGGCGCTTAAGTGAATGGGGGAGTCCTGGTGTGTTGCTATGGGTTAATGGGACAGACTTCAAAGCCGTTTGAACTGCAAGGTTGGTGATTCAAATTCACCAGTGGCTCCTCGAAAACCCTATACAGGGTCCCAACCGATTTGACAGCACTTCACAACAACAAGTGAATGGGGCCTTCCTTCAACCATTAAATAACCTAACCCAAATAATATTAATACTGCTACAATCATAGTAAGCACATGCTGATTCCTTTCTGCAACAAGGAAACAGGATAAAATAACCATTTTTTCACTACTGATCCGTTGAAATCATATATGTCTACCAAAATAATCTTGAAAATCTTCAAAAAATTCTAAAACTAAACAAACAAACAAAAACCCTAAAACAAATATAAAGGAGTCCTGGGTAGCATAGGGTGTTACAAGTTGGGCTGCAAGAGCAACAGTTCGAATCCACTAGGTGCTCCATGGAAGACAGTTAAGGCTTTCTGCTCCTGTAAAGTTTTACAGCCTGGGAAACCCCATACAAGGTGGCCATGGGTTGGAACCTACTGGATGGCATGCAACCACCACCACCCCCGCAAAACCAAACAGGGCACAGACTGGGCAGTTTCCTTTCTTCTTCCAAAGGAAGAGTCTTTCAAATTAGACGTTTCCACATTAGATCAAATAAAGTGGTAATCAGGTCCCTATCTAGCATTTGACTTTCCTTCCTAATCATTATTGGAATCAGATCACCAATTGCACACATGCACATGTATGTTTACATGTGGGGAGTATTTCCTGACCGCTAGCTCTTGGGACCAACCCACAACCAAGGCATCGACTCTCACGCACAGGGAACACGGTGCAAGTGTTCATAATGTTTCAGAGCCTAAACGTCTTCACTGAAGCCAAGGGCTTCAATTTATTGTCTTATCTTAGTCTGTGGCGGGGCTGGTGGCTCCCAAGGGCCAAGCTTGGCTAGCAAAACGTTTAACCCACTGCGTCAACAGGGCCCCCATTTTTCAGAAAGTGCGTCAGGGGCTGATCCAGTTTAGTTTGCTTTCAAAGTGGGGGGGAGGAGACTAAACAGAAAAATTTGCAGGATCGGGTTATCCTCCTTGTTAAGAGCCCAGTACAGGGTTTCCAAGGGGCGACTGCTGGGTTCAAATTCTGTGGTCAGCAGCCTGGTGCTGCTGTGTGCCCACTTACACAGTACCAGAACCTGGGGGAATCGTGTGGACAATAAAGGTGGAGATCCGCCAACACACGATTGAGGATCCTGGGATCAAACCCTTCTACGTACAGTGAGCTATTAGGTCGCACCCATATTCGAGTTGATTTTTGAACTCAAACAAAACAAAAAACCCGGAAGGGTTACGGACCGTTTGACCTTGAAGTGTGTGTGGGGGGGGGGAGGGGAGCGGAGTACTGGTGGCGCGGCGGTGGAAGCGCTGCATGGTGAAAGGTCAGGCGGTAGGAACCCAACCCTCCAGCCGCTCAGGGAGGAAGGATGTGGGGGTCTGCTTCCGTGGAGTCGGTTGCGACTCACAGCGGCCCTGTGTAGGGTTTCCGAGGGCGACGGGTGGGTTCGAACCGCCGATCCTACGATTAGCAGCTCTACAAGAGGACCCCTTAGGGACCCTACGGGGCCATTCTGCTCAGTCCGACAGGACACTCCCAGGTGAATGGGTCGGCACTTGGCAACGGCGACACCGGGCTGAGTTCTGGGCCTCGGTCTCGTCTGCACCGGCAACAGCTGGGCTCCGTGACCGACCACAGCCTTCCAGCCTCCGCAGGTCCGCTCAGCCCGGCCCCGCCGCCCGACACCGCCTCCCTCCCGAACGCATGGACGCGGGGCTGCCCGGGCTCAGGTCGGCCGCCGTTACCCGAGAGCGGACGCGGGGACGGCCCGGGCTTCCAGCGTTGAGAGGAGGAGCCGCAGGCGCACAGACGCCCGACCGCGCAGAACCGCCGCCATGCTCGCCAACCGGACAGTGCGAACGCTCGCGCCGACGCGGCAGCGCGCACGCGCGCCCCTCCCGGCCGCCGTAGTCCCGCCGGCTGCGGTTCCATGCCGGCTTCGCGTTTGGCCCCAACAGATCTGTGTTGGAAGAAGTGCAGCCAGAGTGCTCCTTGTAGGCCAAGATGGCCGAACTTCGTCTCTCATACTTCGGACATATTGCCAGGAGGGACCAGTCACTGGAGGGTATCATGCTTGGTAAGGTGGCAGGTCAGAGAAAGAGAGGAAGACCCCCCAACGAGATGGATTGGCAAAGTGGCAGCACAATGGGATCAAACATAGCAAAGATTGTGAAGTTGGCCCAGGATCAGGCAGTGTTTCCTTCTGTTGTGCATAGGCTTGCTATGAGTCAGTACCAACTCGATGGCACATAACACTTGGCGGTGCAAGTGGGTGAGAATTGAGGCTTTTGGATCCTGCAAAGATAACACAGCCCTGAAAACCCTATATATGTGATCGCTATAGAGTCCTGGTGTGGTGCTATAGGACAAGCATTGAACATCAAGGTAGGCGGTTCAAACTCACCAGCTGCATCTACAGTCCAAAGCTCAGTGGAGACAGAAAAAACAAACCTTTCCCTTTAATTCTACCATTCTACCTTACCTTGCGGGACAAAGATGAAACTTCCTGCTCCAGTAAAGATTCACAGCCTGCTATGAGTTGGAACCAACTCCATGGCGCCTAACCACCAGCACAGCTTCCCTGAAGTCCTGGGATAGCACTTTGGGATAACGCAATAGACCGCATGGCTGTTTTGAACCACAAGGTCAGTGGTTCAAACTCACCAGACCTTCCTCGGAAACGCTATACAGGGTCACTATAAACTGAAACCCATTCAACAGCACTTAACAACTTCTTGCACACTGCATTATTCCCCCCCCCCCCCCCCAAGAGAACCTTAACCAAGTCGTGTACTCAGCGTGCTTTTAAGTGAACCAACCACAGAAGGTTCTGTTAACTTGCAGCATCCCCACTGGCCCACTGGAGTTTAAGTAGGAAAGATATGGTTGCCTAAGTGTGGACTATGCAAAAAATACCTTGTTTTGACTTTAGACATAATCTGTTACATGAATTTCTCACATAGAAGAGCAATATCTGTCTCAGCCATTTTCTAATTATTTGATTTTCATACATTGTTGGCATGCATTTCATTTTTCCTGAAATGTTGACTGGGATTTCCTGACAGATGAGGGTTAAAATAGTCGCTTCAGCACCAGTTATCTTCAGAAACCATCAACACTGAGCTTTTAGGTGATTGGTTTCTGATTTCTCAGTACATACTTGAGAACTAGTCTCTTGTATATGAAATACACTCATCTGTACAATTTGAAAAACACAAGGTGGCTTCAGAGTTTGTGGGAAAATTCCATGATGTTTTTCCACAAGTGTTTTGAAGCATCCTTGGATTGTAAGTACCATTTTGGGATCAGGTACCTTAGAGTACATTATCCTACATTAGTTATCACAACAACCTAATTGCCCTGCCCACTGGTGGGGTGGTGTAAAGTACCATCAAGTCACTTCCAGCTCACAATGACCTACATAGGGTTTCCATGAGTTCTGGCATGGCACCATGAGATAAAGCACTAGACCACAAGGTCAGCCCTTCAGACTCACCGGCTACTCCTTGGAAACCCTACACAGGGTCGCTATGAGTTGAAACTGACTCAACACCACCTAACAACAGGGGTTCCAAGGAGTCGCTGGCAGATTTGAATTGAAGACATTGCGGTTAGCAGTCCAGTGCTTATCCTACAGTGCCACACCAGGAAAAAGGCTAAGAGAGGTTAGGAAGCATGGCTAGTACACACAGCTTGAGAGTTGTTAAGTGCCATCAAGTCGGTTCCAACTCATAGTGACTCTTGTGTAATTTCCAAGGCTGTAAATCTTTCCAGAAGTAGAAGGCCTCAGCTTTCTTCCATGAGCGGCTGGTAGCGTCGGATTGAGAGTTGCAGGGTGCAATTTAAACCTGCTTGATTTCAGAACCTGAACTTGGATTTTTTTGTATCCACTGTAGTAGCATTTGCCCTTCAATAATTTCTTTGCATCAGATTCTTCTAAAATCTTAAAACTATTTGTTAATACTATTAGAAAAATGTTTCTTTATAAACAATACACTTTAAAATATACATGGAAATATCATATAAATCATTTTGTAAGGAAAATCTTTTCATATTTTTGAAGTCTTAACTTCACATTATGAACGCACAGAAAAGATGATGACCACACAGCAAGAGGAAAATTGGGTATTGCAAGACTGTATGAGCTGAAAGTGGGTCTTTACTCATAATAACCTCATTGTTTGGGTAGCTTTCTTTGGAACCATATATGGATTGCCATATACCTCACTTTCTAGTCTATGCCATGCTGCTGAATTGGTTTCTGCCCAAAGTTAGTACTGCTTTTTGTGGTGCTTGGGCCATTTATTACAACTCCTCAGAGACAGATTGAGATCTTTGCTGGGCAGTGTTCAGAGAGTGGGGGAAGGCAAGGTTTCTGTGCCATGTCTGAGCAGTCGTGGAGCCTCTTGGGCAGCAAGCGTTCATGCTCAGGGTCAGAACACCCCAGCTGAAGATCTGTTCCCCTATCAGCTTCCCCTCTCCTGACGGCAGCAATGGAGTGAAAAGGATAGTTGGTACAGCAAATGCCAACCTAAGTGCATTTGAGAGAGAATCCCTAACAATGGTTTCGTTTTATACAAACATACACATTTCAGTGGCCTATTGGAGGAATACCATTTTATTATAAAAAGTCCATTGAAAATACATTTCATTTTTGATAACATTCAATTTCTTTGGAATTTAGAGAATTTAGAAAACCACTGGATTGGAGGTACAAGAGATACATTTTGGGGTGGAGTGGGGTGGGGGAAATCCAGGTTCTAGTAGCAAGAATTGGGGCCTTTTCAGGGTTGAATTGTTGAGCTGTTTCCAACTCATAGTGACCCGATAAGAGAGCCTAGAACTGCCCACAGGGTTTCCTAAACTGAAATCTTTGCAGGAAGAGATTGCCAGGCGTTTTCTCCTACAAAAAGGCTAGTGGGGTCAACTAGTAGCCGAACACCATCAGGGTTCCCTGAGTTTTATGTGGCAAGGGGCAATAAGGCTTAATGGTTCTCAACCTGGGCAATTGTGTCCTTCCAGGAATCATGAGGCAATGTCAAGAGACAAGGGGGGCAGTTGGTGGACAAAGGGGCTTCTGGCATCTGGTAGAAGAGACCAGAGATAGTTCTGAAAGTCCTATAGTACACAGACTGTGCCCCTCCATGTATGTACACACACATGCAGGCAGGCACTAGTTTACAGCTGCGCTATGTGAGTGCCTGTCTACCTATCTGCTGGGCTGGGAGAGATTCAGAATCAGACGCTCTAATGATACTGCGATCAAGCTGTGAAACCCTGGGCCCCTTCCTGACAGACAAACTGACCCTCGCCTGGGATATTCCCCCCTCCCCACCACTCTTGTTGAGCAAAGTGGCAGCATTGAGGCTGGATGGCTGCAGGGATTGGGTCTTCAGGGCCTCCACTCCCCTCCAAGGTTTCCTGTGGGTTTCAATGGCTGAGTTCTAGACAGAACCTAGGGCACATCGAGGACACTGCTTGTTCATAACCATCAGCCTCGAGGCTCCAGGCATAGCCCGGCAGACCACTTTCCTTTTCAGGGCACACATGTTGAAAAACGAAGTAAAGTATCAGAGTGCTAGGAAAGAGGGTTTGTTTGTTTTTTGGGGGGAAGTAGTAACAATGGGTAGACGTTCTCACAATTATCTGGGAGGTTCTGATGATTTTGTGGGTTTTTTTTTCCTTCTGCCTCTCTTTAAAATTTTTTCTTCTTTGTACTTCTTTTTTTTTTAAAGTTTTATTGTGAATTATGTGATAGTTTACATGGGAGAACATTAGCTTTCCATTCATCCTATTGTATATCGTTTCATTGCTATGGTTACAATCCCCACCATGCATCATCAACCAACCAAAGGGTATACCCTACAAGCCTGTCTCCCGGTCCTCAGCACACAGCCACTCTCCCTCTCTGGGTTTAGAGTCCTCAGCTGCTCCATCTCTCCACATCATCATCTCTGCCTCCATCTCTGGCGTCACTGCTTCTCTGGGTAGGGTCCCGGTCTCTGCTCTTCTCCCTTGATGGTTCTTCTTTGTACATCTTAAAATCCCCTTAATTTTATCAGGAGTGGAGATTTCCATCCTTGAAGCAATTTTTGAAGGCTATAGTGACAGACACCACGTTTATTTGATACTGATGTCAATTATGTTTTGAGGATAAGCTGGTCATGTAAAAAAAATCTACTTAGAGAGATCATAGAATTTTTCTGCACCGTGGTTATGGCAAGAACTAATGTGGAGAAGAGAATATCAAAGAAGAAAGTTGATATAAAATTTGCTGAAATTTTTCTCACTCAAACAAAACTTCAGGAAATGGAATGAATAACAAAGCTGAACTGAAGGAAAATGATCTTCCTCATCCGGGGCATCCGTTGGTCTTTCTTCTTACATTTTCCTGAAGGCAGGTTTGCTACAGATTCTTACTCCTCCCCTCATTCTTCAGTTGTGAAATGCAGTTAAGTATTTGTATGCAGACCCAGAGACCTATATCAAGGAGGAAAGGGTTCTGAACGTTAAGGCAGCACACCTCGCACCTGGCACCAGGTTACTCACTAGGTCCGGAGGTTCACATCATGCTGCCAAAGCCCTATATGGGGTCAGTGCTGGCTGACCACAATCAGGCTGTTGACAAGGTCTATGCGTGAACACTGGTATAGTGCATATGCCAGCTTGCCCACTGTGGCCCCCTTACTGCCTTCCCTCATTAACCACTTTTGGAGCATCTGGTAAACCTTCTCTTTCAGTCCATCTCGTTCATAGTCGTGGTCTATTTCATCAATCTGAGGTTCAGTGAAGCCCAGCTTCCGGGCACATTTTTTCCAGTGCTTTCCCAGATTTTCCCTGACTGGGTCCAGGTGTTTATCAGTCAGACTGGTGACATTACCTGCCAAGGTGAAAAAGAAGAAGGTATCAAGCTATAACTCAGGTGACCATTCTAGCTTTAGCTTCCTGAATTGCTGAAAAACCCAGGTAGTATGAAAAGTACATGCAGACTCTGAAAAGGGTAACTTCTTAGTTACAGTGTTGGTTCTTCGTTGGATTCGATAATTTACATACCTGGAGCTCTCATGGAGCCTTGTGTGAACTAGATGTGCCCGGAAACCACTGCTGACCATGTTGGGAACAAAAGTCCTGCGTGGTTACTAAACAGCTGGAAGCAGTATCCCTGTTTATATTAGACTTTCCTGTAGGTGAAGGAAAATTACTTATTTGTCCTTTTTGGACATTTTGTACTTACATGGGCCAGAGTCAAAGCTACTCAAGTCCTCATGGCTCCTACTCTGATCTAATCAAGGAAACTGACAAGCTCCTGACACATGGTCACTGTTACTAGAATTGATGAAAGTATGCATACAAGGTCCTTTTGCAATAAAATGGGCTATAATTTCACCCTTGCAGAAGAATATGGGCTTAAAAAAAAAAGAATATGGGCTTTTCCAAAGGTAACGATGTAAGTCTTAACCACAGTGTAATTTATAGGTTCCTTTAAAAATAAAAATAAAAAAAGCACTGTTGCTCTATAGGATAAGCACTGGACTGCTAGCCACAAAGTTGGCAGTTGAAGTCCACCAGCTGTTAGGCAGGCAAAAGATGAGCCTTTCTGTGCCTGCAAAGATTTGTAGCCTTGGAAACCCTTTTCCAGACCGTTATGAGTCTGAACAGACTTTAAAAACAGAAAAACCTGGCATCTATTGAATACACCGTGGCAGTGGTGGTGATTGTGAACCATGAAGCCAGTTCCAAAGCGACTGTTAGATTCGAACTGCTGACCTTGCAGTTAGCAACCAGCTCAGCATTCACTATGTTACCAGGGTTCCTTACAGAATACACTACAATAAATTACTTTATACAAAATTGTTGTGAAGTGCCAGCGAGTCAGTTCCCACTTATAGTGACCCCATATCGGGTCTCCAACAAGTGACCGGTGGATGGATGTGAACTGCCAATCCTGCGATTAGCACTGGATTGCTAACCTTAGCGAGGTTGGCAGTTAAAACACTGTAGTGCCAGTCTTTCAAAGAACGATGTGTCTACACTCTTCAAAGTCTGGTGTCTGGACACCCACACTTCATACAATTGTCGTCCCTTCTTTTCCTTATAATTGTAACTTCCCTACTGGCCTCTTCCCCTTTCATAAAAATAACTACCAAAAAGAAACAAAAGTACAAAATAACCATCACAAACAAAACATATTCTTTGATCCTGCTCTTTTCTCTGCAAGTTGACTAGAAGAGATTTTTCTCTACAACTCCCATTCTGACCTGTCTGTCCCCACCACTAGGTATCAGTGTTTCAAGAAACTCTTGAGATAGTTGGCAAATTTAGTCGAGACCTCTCTAGGAGACGGAGCCTGGGCTTCATCAGATTCTAAAAGGTGCCCCTGTCTTCCCCAAAAGTTAGGAAATCTCTACTCTAGGTATTTTAAATGCTACACATCAAAAGGAGCTCTGGTAGCATAGTGGTTACGATTCAGGCTGTGAACCATAAGGTTAGTTTGAAACTACCAGCTGTTCTGTGGGAGAAATATGAGGCTTTCTGCTCCCATAAAGATTTATAGCCTTGGAAACCCTGTACAGGGTCACTATGAATCGGAACCAACTCCACGGCACACAACAACAACAACCCATCAAATAGTTTAGAACAGGGATTGGCAAACTATGGCTGAGGCCAAATCTGCCGGTTCTTATAAATAAAATTTTTAGTGGAACATGGATCTGTCTATTCATTTGCAGATTGCGTTTACACCACATTGACAAAATTGAGTCCTTGTAACAGAACCCTCAGGTCCACAAAGTCTAAAATATTGACTATCCAGCCGTTTATAGAAAAAGTTGGCCAGTCCCTGGGTTAATCAGAGAACTAGGTTTTTGGAATTTCAAGTTCTCGTGGAACCCAGCTAATGTCCTGGAGGGTGGATGGATGCACTTCTGAAAAAACTGGCCTGAGGTTCTCTATCAATCTGAAACCAAAAGTATCCCCTGAAGTCTTTTTAATGCCAAATAAAACTTGAGCTAAAAAGTCTTCCTTAGGACTCTGCTCTTTTAAGATCCATCTGCTGTTGTGAAGTGCCATCAAGTCGGTCCCGACTCATAGCGACCCAGTGTAGGGTTTCCTTGGAGCTACTGTGAGTTTGAACCACTGACCTTGTGGGGCAAACTGACCTTTCAGTCCCAGGCTTATCATCCTACAGCGCCACACCAGGACTCCAATTACATGGCATCAAACTGACAACAGGAACTTGAAAGGTCAGACTGGAAACTTAACGGGCAGGGAGCTAATACTAACAGAAAGAGTGACTCAGAAATGGAAGGTAAGAATGGTCCAGTCTCACTGAATTGTACATGTAGAAACTTGAACTCGTGTATGTTCTCCTGTGTATATTCTCAACAACAAAAATGAATTATGTAGCAAAAGCTGGGCTCTTAAAGTCATGTTTTGGACTCATAATTGCTTTTCCTAGATTGTGCTTTGGTATTAAGGTTCTCAGCCTGTACAGTGGAATCCTATGTCAACTTGTTTTTTTACAAAGGTGTTGTTGGGTGAACAGTCTTCTGTCTTTCCCAGAATCCCCTTGGATGAGAACGTATGGGAGTTACTTCTACAACATCCAAGCAGCAACACTGATGAAAGATAATGGTTTCATAGTTTACAGGACTTACTCTGTACCAGGATGTGTTCTAAGTACTTTCAACATATTTTCACTATGAATCGATGAATCAGATATAGTTATCCTCATATCACAAGTAAGGAAATTACAAGAGATTATATGGCATTAGAGACATTTTACAGAGAAAACATGGAAGAACTTTGGGGAAAATAATCAGAAATTTTGGATTTCACAATAACCCTGCTAACAAGTCAGAAAGTTCAAGGCTGCTAGTCAATGGATCTTTAAAGGGGGTCTTACCAAAGATCTCTTGGTATTTTGATGCTGGCTCTTCTTTGAAGTTCGTGTATGTGCTGTCCAGTGGTGGTACACTTAATCTGCCAACCTCCATGAAACTGTAATCTCCAATCTGAATGCCACTACTGTTGTAAATGTTATACCTAACAGAATTCTCTAAATAGAGATAAACACAAGTGAGTACTTCTAGACAGAGAAAAACAAAAACAAAAAAAAAAAAAAACCAGTAAAGGGATTAAGGTAAATGTTTTAGTTAATTTATTTATCCAATGCTATCCCTTAAAAGAAGTCCTGGTGTGATGCTGTGGGTTAAAGCACTGGGCTGCAAGATCGGTTTGAACTGCAAGGTCGGTGGTTCAAGCTCACCAGTAGCTCCTCAGAAACCCTACACAGGGTTGCAATAAGTTGGAACTGACTCAAAGGCACATAACAACAAGACTAACAACCCAGTTAGAGGAAGCACTAAGACTTTAAAGGATAAGCACTGAACTGCTAATCACAAGATTGGCAGTTTGAGCCCATCAGCTGCTCTGTGAGAAAAAAGGGAGGCTTTCCGTTCCCACAAAGCTGGACGGTCTTGGAAATGCTACACAGGGGCAGTAAGAGTTGGAACCAACCGACGGCACTAAATAACACCAAAGTCAGAAAATCATAGTAGATGAAAAACACATGTAGGCCCAGACACATTTCCCAGCAAGTCTGGTTGATGTCCTCCTTCATACAATAAAACCCAAATCTCTCAGTCCAATACTCAAAACCACCCAGTTTGATCCAATCCTCTCTTTGATCGTTCTTTGCCTATCACTTCACTGTCTCCAGTCTGCACAGTCTTGTCACACCCAGTTTCCCACTGACTCATTCATAAGATGACTCTGCCTTTGCTCAAGTTGTTTCTTTTCAGGAACTGTCTTTCTTCCTGTTTCTACTTGGGTGTTTCTGCATGGGCCTACTCAAATCCTCCCTCCCTTCAAGGAGCCTCTGCTATAATCTGACATCTAGCATTTCGTCACAGGCTGCTCTGGATCAGTCTGAATTCTTGGAGGACAGACCCCAAATTCATTCATGTCTACACTGCTTACACTTCCTGGGTAATGCAGGACTTGGTATATGGCACGTGTTCAATGATACTCATGCTATAGCAAAGGTACCTAGGCTGACTGTTACTCAGAACATTTAGCATGTCCTTGTATGAGAGAGCGGTGGAAGGCAGGTCTGAGGAAAGAGGCAAATGCGATGACCCTCCAGGCATTCAGTTAGCATGTGTGTACCTAAACTAGGCAGTCCAGATGGATCAAACAACCATGCAAACTTTGTTGCATTTTCTCTGATGAAGCTATGGAAACTCTGGACCCTCTTCACACCAAACTGCCAGAAATATACACACGCACAAACATAAATACCAGGATGGAAGCTGCACCAAGGGAAGGGACTTGGGCCGTGTGTTGGCTGTTGTATCCCCAGTGCCTAGAAAAGTGCCTGGTATACAACAGCAGTAAGTGATTAGAAGGTTCATTGCATGGATCATGAGTGATTAAAATTTGGTGATACAAATGAAAACTCAGTTTCCAGATACAACACAAACAGAAAGGCATTTTTACCCATATGATTATGCATGGTTTATATTCTGTTTAATGCCTAATTTAAAGTTTTGCATTCCATAGCTTTTATAAGAAAACCTGTGGAAAAATATTGATTGCTTCCACAGAATGTTTTAGGAGAATGCAACCTGGTATGGTGCCACAGGACAAGCACTGGAGTACTAGCCACAAGTCAGAGGTTCAAACCCACCAGCAGCACAGGGTTAATATGAGTCAGAACCGACTGGAAGGCCCCTCACAACAACAACAACGGTCTTTCTAAAGAAAAGTGAATTGTCTTTCTGCTTCTCAAGCTCTCTCTAAGCTGCTTTCAAAATGTCTACGACCCAGTAAGGTATCACTGACTGAGCCCACTCAGGTAGTCCGGTGGCATTGGGTCATACATACTATTTGATAATGATGTTAGGTATTACTATCATTTCCACTGGAGACTGTCAGTAACTACTATCAACTAGTATTTCATTTTACCCTGCAACTATGGAGGTTGTAAGAAATATTTACATCACAGGTGGTGGTCTTTGTTCTATATGCGTATAAGGTAAGGAAAAATAATCTATCACTTCTTACTGTCAGAAAATGGCAAAAAACAAGTATATTGTATAATATAAGCAAGCATCTCCCCATTCATCAAAACAGCCTGATGGAACATGTTACTCTGTTTGTAGTGGAAGATGCTCACCAATTAAAGGGATATGCCACCTGATTCTTGTTGGCAATTGTAACACGATGGATTCTAGACCCAAACTGAAGTACATGACAGCTGGGTATGTGATACAAACCAATGTGGCTGTTTAAGGCCTGTTACCTGTTGATGGGTAGGAGCTGAATGGAATGGTAGGTGTGTTTCCCAGTAGATTGCTCTCAGGCACTGGAGATTTATGCAGGCTAGGCACCTGGGTTGGGTTACACCAATGTCCTGGACCTCCTGTTTCTGGATCATGTAGTCTTGTTCCCAAAGTAAATGGATGGTTATACAGCCTGTTGTTCCAGTATGGTACTTGGGGTTGGTTGGTTGGCCCTGGTTGTTGTTGAAATGCGTCACCGTGACAAGTTGTACTGGAATAAGCAGGGCCCTTCACCCCGGGCTTCAGCTCATTCTCGTAAGTTCTCGGCTGTGCAAAGGGGTCATGGGAGACCCTTCGTTTCCTTTCCTCCTCTCTGTTAAAAGCCACATTCTGTCTGGGCTGCCCCTTTACCGTCCTGTCCATGCGGCTGCCGAAAAGATGGTAGTTGGCTTCCTCCAGGAGTTTGCTCTGCAGGCTGGACTCATTCTCCTCTTGCTGGTGCTCTGAGGAGGGGCCAAACCACGACTCCTCCACGGGTCCCATCCTGAATCCCTGTGAACTGTGTAGCGAGCTGGGCTGTTCTGTGGCTGAGAGTAGATCAACATTGGAATGAGTTTCATGAAATATTAACAAGTAAAACCTGAACAGCACCATGAAGTAAAAAGCCTCTATGAGATCCTGCTCTTCCTGCTGCAGGCTGTACAGGGAGTAAGAAAAAACTCCTAGCTGACAATGATGGAACACCAGTGAAGCCACAACCACTACCAGAACAGGGGATGTGGCAGGAGTAACCAAGGAAGACAGGGACTTCGGTTGGAGCATAGAGGGTACTTGCCTCCTTGGTGTGTGATTTGGGTTAGAAACTATAAACACCCGCAGCTCTAAGTAGCACCTGCCATGGGCCCTTGATTCTTTAAAAACCTTAAGATGGGACTGAAAATGATGTGGCCATTGTGGAAAATAATTTGGTAGTTCCTCAAAAGTTAACCTTAAGATCATCATATGACTCAGCAATTGGACTCATAGGTACATACACACCTAAAAGAATGGAAAGCAGGCTCTCAAACAAATACTGATACACCTATGCTCATTTATTCACAACAGTCAAAAGGTGGAAACAACCCAAGTGTCCCGCGAAGAAGAACAGATAAACAGAATATGGTGCATGGTGCGTATGTACAAAGGGATAAATAAGTTTCTCTTTATTCAGCCATAAAAAGAAATGAGGTTCAGATATATGTCACATATATGTCATAGGTGGTGAACCTTGAAAACATTATGCTGAATGAAATAAGTCAGACACAAATGGAAATGCTGTATGATCCCACTTGTATGAAATGTTCCATCAGACAAACGCATAGAGATCAATGTTTATTAGTGGGTGCCAGGGGTTGGACAAGGACAGGAAATTGGGAGTTACTGCTAAAGGTGCACTGAGTTTGTTTCTAAACAACTTTTGGAAAACCTGATGGTTGCATAATAATGAATTGTACACTTAAAGATGGTATACAGTTAAAATGGCAGAATACTTATTATGTCTATTTTGTCACAACATTTTTTAAAAACATGAGAGTGGGTTCTGACTATTAATACTAATTGAGGGACGTGGTTTATAAGAGGTTAAGTCATTTGCCCCTGGTTCAACAGCTAATGAAGTGGTCTCAATACCTCATACTCTGCCTCCTTGGTTATAATGAAAAAAGTGTCCTTGCTTGAATCTGAGACCAACCTGTCCTTGTACCGTGCATACAGCCATCTTTTACCTCTAAAAGGACTTTGCTCCCAGGTATGCCCTCTCTTTTTCCTGGATTCTCACTGCCTCCCACTAGACACCTCCTCCCACGCTGAGATTATGGTAAGCATGTTATGATCTAATATTTCAAATATATGGATCTAGATTCTCCAATATATTCTAAACTTCTCTAAGATAAGTGCTATGTTTTTGGTATTTTTTTCTGTTTCCTTTGGAAATATAGTATTTTAGAGAGTAAGTTAATGAGCAGGAAAACAAGCAGATTTTGGGTCACAGTGTAAGTTACCTGAGTTTGACCTGCTTGGAGGGATCGCTTCACAATCAATTTGGAGAGACTGCATTCTCTTTATGACTGCATTTTCGTCTGGATACTCTTTCTATGATTAAGAACATAAATGCACACTGTAGTAACCAGCAGGAAAGACATAGTAAACAGAAGGAGATGAGGAGAAGAGTAAATCCTCTCAGGCGGTAGAATCTTAACATAGATCTGTTGCTGTTACTGTTGGATGCTGTCAAATGACAGACCAGAACCCCCCAAAAGGATTTTTCAGGCTGTAAACTTTACAGACATAGGTTATCAGAGCTTTTTCCTTTGTAGCTGCTGGGTGGGCCTTTCGGTTGGCGGTTGAACACTTATCCGCTGTGTTACCAGGAGCCTTACAAGTAATCAATGAAAAAAATAATAAACATTTTGCTTTTTTCTTAAAAAATAATACCAATTCTGGAAATATACAAAATTATTATTATTTTAAAAAAAATCTGTACTGCCTTCATCTAAAGATAAACTATTAACATTTTGGTTTTTCTTTCAAGTTTTTCCCCTAGTTATATGCATTTTGGTGTGGCACGACAGGATAAGCACTTGACCACAAGGTTGGTTTGAACTGCAAGGTTGGTATTTCAAGCTCACCAGTCGCTCCTGTGAAACCCTATACAGGGTGGCTAAGAGTCGGAACTGACTCGATGGCACTTCACAACAGCAATATGCATTTTGTTCTCCAGTCTGCTACACAGATGGTTGTTGTGGGTATCTTTGTTGTTATTAAGTGGTGTTGAATCGGTTTCAATCCATAGCAACCCTGTATAGGGTTTCTGAGGAGCTGCTAGTGAGTTTGAACCACTGACCTTGCCATTCAAACGACTTTGCAGTCCGGCGCATTAACCCGCAGCACCACCCCAGGACTCCTGTGGGTCTCTAGTGCTGCTAAATTAAAAATACCACAAGTGGATGGCTTTAACAGAGCTTTCTTCGCTCACAATTTAGAGGGCCTGATTCACAGAGTACCAGAGAGCTCTGAGGAGAGGTCCTGGTCTCCTTTCAGCAGCTGCAGGCCCACCCAGCATTCCCTGGAGCAATCCATGTGGCTTGGCATCAGTCTTCCCCTAGATCCAGGAGCCTCACCGTGCAGAGATGCCAAGTTTAAAGGACATATTCCGCTCCTGGTTCTTCTTTCCTGGTGACAGAAGCTCCCTCCTCTCTGCTCATGGCTCTCTACTTTTATCGTTTGTAAGATCAAAGCTGTTGCAGCCACACCCCTGGAAAACTCCTTTACTGGGTTGTGATGGGATTAAGAAGATTGCAGCATGGATATTGGAGCTCTGATAGCATAGTGGTTACGAATCAGGCTGCTAATCTCATGGTCAGCAGTTCAAAACTACCAGCTGTTCCACGGGAGAAAGATGAAGCTTTCTGTTCCTTTAAAGATTTACAACCTCCGAAACCCTATTCAGGGTCACTAGGAGTCGCAACCGACTCCTCAGCTCATAACCACCACTCCACCCATTAATCCTTTCATTGGTTTATCACATAAGATCACATCATGGGAAATCATCACATAGCTGTCACATTGCATCATCACCTAACTCCCATATTACATCATCACATAATGACCACATTACAGCATCACATAACTC